ATGCGGATCCGTCTAGTGAAATAGCTAATCACACATCGCCTTCAGAAAGTCCAACAGTCGAAGAGGTCGTAGAGGGTCAAGTTGATGATACCATAGTAAAAGATGAACTGCAAATACAACCACCTGCTTCAGAAAGCGAAATTCCTTCTACTTCAATAACTGAAAAAACAAAAGGTTCATAACTAGGTTTTTTTATTTAGGTGTTGTCTCTATATTGCATTCGAGGAAATTCCAAAAGCTGCTCCAAGTCTAAGATTCATAACTTGGTTTTCTATTTAAGTGTTTTCTGTATATTGCATTTGAGGAAATTCCAAAAGCTGCTCCAAGTCCAAGATGGTTACAACAAACATAAGATGTCTAATTTCTGCAGAATAATATGCAATTTTGTGACCAAAGACAAAATCCCCAATTATTATCTGCTGAAATTTTGCCTCATTTCTATCTATATGATGAAACACTGATCCTATTTCTTTCAAGTGATGGAAGTTCTGATCCATCTGAAGATTTAGCTAATGATCATGTCCTTTTGTCAGAAAGTCAGGCCACCAAAGCTGTAGATGACGTACCTGAAAACATTAGGGAGGAAGTGCAGATACAAACACCCGCTGCTGAGGGTAAATTGCCTTCTATCTCACAAGTGGAAGATGACAAGGTGGGAATTACCCCTGAGAGGAATGGTGGTGTTTCTAATTCAAATGGAGAAACTGACAATCCTTCCCCGAAGGAAAGTGTGACTAAAGGTTGTTTTGCCTGCTCATCTTCCTCATTTTAATGCATTTCAATTTTTTTTTTGCATTAAGCCAGGTAAACAAATGAATAGTGATGACTTGAAAACTGATGGGCATGTTGTTCATGGATTTTATATAAAAAAGTGGCCCAAGAATTTTTAATTCTTTCAAGATGAAATTTAAACCAGTAAACACTATGAGGATCTAGATTCAATACTAAGAAGAATAGAATTGATGTGTTGTGTTGAATGTTATGAATATTTATCTATTCACCTACCAAGCAACACACACACACCACATGTGGTATGGAGTTTCATGCTACAAAGAATTGCTGTATTGTGCTACTGCTGCTTCCTAAAAATTTATTGATTTTTAAAAGGATTGCACGTATTTCACTGTTCACCACAATGCTTTATCTGATGCTGAATCATGTTTCTGCTGGGCTAGTGAGGATGGAAAAAATCCTCATTGGATCCTATCTTAAATTTTTTTAACATTTTCTGTTAATTGATTGATTAGTCAATTCACAATGGAATAGTGATCTTCTCGTATTAAGTTGTATCTGCCTCTAATTGTATGTTTGTATATATGGATTACAGAAACTATATCACCAGCTCTTGTAAAGCAGCTGCGTGAAGAAACAGGAGCCGGAATGATGGATTGCAAAAACGCTTTGTCAGAGACTGGTGGGGATATTGTTAAAGCTCAGGAGTTCCTTAGAAAGAAAGGCTTAGCAAGTGCAGACAAGAAAGCCAGCAGAGCAACTGCTGAAGGAAGAATAGGTTCATACATTCATGATAGCAGGATTGGTATCTTGCTAGAGGTAAACTGTGAGACAGATTTTGTTTCCCGGGGTGACATTTTCAAGGAGCTGGTTGATGATCTAGCCATGCAAGTGGCTGCATGCCCGCAAGTACACTACCTTGCTACAGAAGATGTTCCTGAAGAGTTTGTCAACAAGGAAAGAGAAATTGAGATGCAGAAAGAAGATCTTTTGTCAAAGCCAGAGCAGATTAGATCAAAGATTGTTGATGGGAGGATCAGGAAGAGGCTTGAGGAGCTGGCATTGCTTGAGCAGCCCTACATTAAGAATGATAAGGTGGTGGTGAAAGACTTGGTGAAGCAAACCATTGCAACTATTGGAGAAAACATAAAAGTGAAAAGGTTTGTGCGCTACAATCTTGGAGAAGGCTTGGAGAAGAAGAGTCAGGATTTTGCTGCCGAGGTGGCTGCCCAAACTGCGGCAAAACCGCCGCCCACAGGAGGAAAAGAGCAGCCTGCTGCAGTGGAAGCCAAGGAAACTGTTGAAAAGTAAGTAACTGCTTGTCACAAATCCTGTCTTGCTTTTACATCAGAGCTCTGTAATACTGGGTCATCAATATATTGTTTTGGAATTTTTTTTTTTGGACTGAGTTTCTGTGATGAAAAACAGGAGTTCAACACTCAGTAGTGCCTTATATAAACTTTTTTGTCTACTTGAGTTGCTTGGCCTTGGTTTTGACATGTGTGCTTCTTGCTGCCAATCTTTATCTTGTGAATGTCGTTGACCTACATTCAGCACCATATTGCAGGGCACCTACTGTAGCTGTCTCTGCCGCTTTGGTTAAACAACTACGTGAAGAAACTGGAGCGGGGATGATGGACTGCAAGAAAGCTCTCTCTGAAACTGGAGGCGACCTTGAGAAGGCACAAGAGTACCTGAGGAAGAAGGGTCTCTCTTCTGCTGAAAAGAAATCCAGCAGGCTTGCTGCAGAAGGCAGGATTGGGTCCTACATTCATGACTCCCGCATTGGAGTTCTAATTGAAGTGAACTGCGAGACTGACTTTGTTGGTAGAAGTGAAAAATTCAAGGAGTTGGTTGATGATCTGGCAATGCAAGTTGTGGCCTGCCCGCAGGTGCAATTTGTGTCCATTGAAGATATTCCAGAGAGCATTGTAACCAAGGAAAAAGAGCTTGAGAGGCAGAGGGAGGACCTTCTGTCAAAGCCTGAGAATATTAGAGAGAGAATTGTGGAGGGGAGGATCTCAAAGAGGCTTGGGGAGCTTGCTCTTTTAGAGCAACCTTTCATCAAAGATGATAGTCTTCTGGTGAAGGACCTAGTGAAGCAGACTGTTGCTGCTCTTGGGGAGAATATTAAAGTTCGCAGGTTTGTTCGGTTCACTCTTGGGGAGACGGTTGAGGACGCAAAAGCAGAAGCAGCAGCCGAAGCTTGAGACAAAGAAGAAACTTCAAGTTAGCATGGAAGCATCGATCGGCGACGATGGGGTCTGTTTATTCATGGTGAGGCAAGAGCTAAAGGATAGTAAGAATGGGTAAAACAACTTTTAGATGGAAGTAATATGATTCTTTTTTGTTTTGGTTTTAGTATGTATCTGAAGCTAGGGCTGATCATGCTTTGCTTTATATGGCCGTCAAAGGTACTGTTTTTGTCATCTATATTGCGAGAGAGAAGGGAGCGTCAACCATCTCTGATATTTTTTTTGTTCTTTGTTGCACCATTGATGGAAATACAATTCTGTTGAGGCATTTTTGGTAATAGTGTATAATAATATTTATATAAAAACATGGTTCAACACTGTCAGATTGCTTCTTCAATTAATTCAGAACAAAAATTAGAAAATTTTGGCACTCCCATAATTTTTTTATTTATTCCTGATCTGATTTTATAAAGAATTTAAGATTTTGGATATAATTATGTGATGAAAAAAAAAATTTGTTTTCAGACCAATTCTCAGTCTTAAACTGCAAAAGGACCAATTGGCAATTTGCCCATAGTTTAGAATAAGACAAACGACCTTGGGGCCAATACTCGTAAAATATTATATTTAAATAGTAAAGACGTGCGGATGCACAACTATTCTATTTAAAGCGTATAGCCGGCGGGCTATACTTTTAAAATTTCTATTTATAAGATATAGCCGCGCGGCTGTCCTTTTAACTTATTCTATTCATATAGTATAGCCGCTCGGCTATACTGTTAAACTATTTGCTTTGAAAGGTACAGCCGCGCGGCTATACCGTTATAATATTCCATTTAAAAGGTATCGCGTGCGGCTGTACGTTTGCAATTTCTATTTATAGAGTATAGCCGCGCGGCTATACTGTTAAAATTTCTATTTATAGAATATAGCAAAGAAACTAATTTTATATTTTTAAAATAAAATCAAGAAAACCTGTCCTGACGAAATTTGGTCAGCAGAATTCTATGCCGGCAAATATTTGCCTGATAGACCTCTCCGGACTAGATGAACTTGTGCCGATGAAATTTCGTCGGGAGAGATTTCAGGCAAATTTCGCCGGCACATGTTTGTGCTGAAGGAATTTCGTCGAGAGAGGTTTTTTAAAATATATATTTAAACTTAGTATCTTTAAGTCAATAAATTTTTATTTTATATTTTGTTTTTAGTAATTAAATAATATCTTAGCCTTATTTAATTACTTTTATTAGTAATTATGTTTTAATTAGTATTAAATATTTCAAATAACTTCGTAAATTATATTACTTGTTAAATAGTAATTAATTGTTAAAAAAATTATAGAGTATAGCCGCTCGGCTAAACTACAACTTGTTAAAGGCAAGCACACTCAAGTATATTGTTAGGTCCAGTTATGTCGTACTAACCGCATATTGAGATCGAAACCTTAATCATAAAACCTTAGGTGGAGTTACGTGAGTATCCAAGCTTAATCGAGTCATAAGTGCCCCATAGTAGGCTTATGGTTGGGTTCGAGGCTTGAGAAATATTTTGAAACAAGTTCAGAAGCTAGAGTTTTTGGTTCGAGACTTGGATTCAAACTAATTTTGTATAAATAATTAATTATTAAGTCATTTATGAAACCAGTGAAATATTTAAATATTCACTAAAAAAATAATTACTAATTAAAGTAATTAAAAAATACTAAGATATAATTACATATATTAAATTAAAGAAGTTGGCCAAAAAACAAAAGTAAAGAAACCAATTTTATACTTTTAAGCCGTGCGGCTATACTCCTTGCTGGACTCTCTCTCCACTAGCAAAGAGCTGGAGCATCCACACCCGACCTGGAATCATCGCAAACTCTCGACTCGAGACACTCCCACCCTTCGGACCCTCCAAAAGCTGCCCCACCTATACAAGTAGTTTTGGCGTGAACTATCTTCTTGGCAAATTAATAGAACACAAAATAGAGATAGAAACAGAAATAAAAGAACTTTCACATTCACATAATAAATTTGTATTTTGATCCCATTTTAAGAAGAATGACATTTTGGATATGATGAAAAGAAATTAACAAAATTTCAGATCGATTTTCAATCCAACTCATATGAAAAGCAGTACAAATTCCTACATCAACTTTTACATGTATATTTGTTCACCTATACTACACAAATACATGATCTTTGCGCCAAAAGAAGAAAAAAAAATTACACCAAACATGAGCTTAATGTGGAGCTAGATACTCTTGGGAACAAATCGCCACAAGTCTACAGCAATATCCACCTCCCTTTTCTTGTGAAATTTGTACAGTTGTGGTACATCATATCGAAGCTGACGGAAAAAGGAGTCAACAAGATTAACTTTAATATCATGTCAACAACTAAAGCTAAAGCATGCTCACACTCATCACATCAAACATATATAATAGCGCCGATGTTATAGGAATCACAACGACGATTTGAAGAAAGCTATCTTTACCCACCTCACATAGAACTTCAGCACTGCTGGCATTGTGCCGCAAAGCTGCCCTTTTCACATGCTGCAATGACCAAAAGGGGAGTGATCTCATTATGCAGTCAGTTAAAAAACAAGTACCCTCTAAACAAACGGTGAGGACCGGTGTTGAGAGGAAAATAACCAGAAAGTAAATTATAATTGCGTGTCAAAGCAAGGCGTGTGGAAGTGCCTTGACCAGTTTCCTTCTAAATGGCAAGAACTTTTGTAGCAAATGACTTACATCTCTCGTGGAAGTCTTGTGCAAGGAATAAACTGCTTGAGAAGCAATCTGAAATAATAATAATAATAATAATAATAATATGAGGAAACAATTATATTAGAAGAAACGAGATAGAAGAGATTCAACTTAACCAGAGATCAGTCCCTGCACTTACCTTCAAAGCCACAAAGAGAAAATCCATGTCAGCACCTTTTTTCCGAGTTCCAAATGGAGGATTCATTACAACAGTATCAACAACTTCAGCTGAATTTAGGATCAAGAACATTAGTTGAAGATAGAATTTGAAAGCATACGCCTGCTGAAATTATGTACTTTTAGGAATCATATTTGTATCTTAAATCATCATTGCAACATCAAATTACATATAAACAGTATACTATTATTCACAGCCTCAGATGACAACAGAAACTATAAGGGGAAATGTAGGGACTCTCCAACAAATAAAATAGCTGTCCAGCACATTAGATAATAAATAAACATCTAAAATCAATTAACCTAAAATACAAGAAATTGTAAGAGAAGCAACAAATTTTAATTATTGAAGCCCACGGAATACATGATTCCAGCAACACAAAGTCGACCTATGCAACACAGAAACCACAAAGTTCCCCAATTTCTATAACTAAATGATATCTCTAGCCAACACACAAGGTTTCCAACGGTCAATAAATTCAACAAAAACATAGTCAGGATACAATCTGCCGTCAAGCTGAAACATGAAACTCCAAACGAAGGATAACAAATGGCCACTTTGAGATATACAGCAATCATAAATATACAAACATTTGAAGGAGAAAAGGACAGAAACAGAACATGAAGACACTCTGGAGGATGAAAATCCATTTCTGTAGAGCTTGCTAAAAGAATTAAACCAAATTTATCAACTAAATTATGTGTATGCATAAATAGTTTCTATTAATACACACATAAACAAGACCTCTGAAGAGAGGGGTTCTCATACCTCTCAATCCTAAGTTCTTAATGTCACACTGAATATAATCCATGTCCAACTGCAGGATTACCAACAGAACAATGCATTAGTTGACCAGCACCCAGAATGATTCAAAAGTGAAGGTAATGGGAAAGGAAGGGGTGTATAATGAGCAAATGGCTGGAGTGTTTTTCAACCTCGAAATGCCTACTTCTACGGAAGACAAATATATAACTACTGGCCCAAACCATAGTACTAAACAAAAAGTATAAGCATAGCAAGCCATAGAGAATTATAAACATTACTATCGTCAAAATCAAAGAAGTGCTGTACCTCAAGCTCCTCTGCATTTAGTGATGCTAATTCAAGAGATTGAGAATCAATGTCAATGCCAATCACACGTCTGACCAAAGCAAGAAAATGCTTAACCAACTACTAAAATGAAGAAGTATTCATACAAAACTCATAAACTTTAGCAGTAATAAATGCCCTTCAATATTTTATTAAGTTGAATTATGAGAAATAGTTCTAATTTCAACTGAAACTTAAGTACCAATTAAATTTGCAAGGGACAGAAACAAAAGCAAGGGGAAGATGTAACTCACTCTGCATCCAAGAGTGCAGCTGCAACACCCAATGTACCACAACCACACCCAAAATCAGCCACTACCTTGTCAGTCACATCCCCGAATGAGTTCTCCGCCTAATCAATCAAAACCCGTGTTAGAAATAAAGCTCAAAGTCAAGTATTTTGCAGAAGACCAAGTAGATTTAAGCAAAAGGCAAAGACTTCGAGAAGAAAGAACGAGCTAGTTAATTTACACTATGAACTTTTAGAGAAAAATGAGGGAGTAGAGAGCAGAGCAATACAGTGTAGAGCATGCGAGAAGCAATGTGGGGTCCAGTTGGGTATTGTTCCAGCTCCATCTGCATCAATGAATATCCATTCATCCATCAGTCTCTGTGTACGCGTTTGAGAGAGAGAGAGAGAGAGAGAGAGAGAGAGAGAGACCTTTGGGTTGGAGAACTGTTGGAGGCCACCCAGGAGGCCTTCCAACTGCTTCAGCTTCATCTTTCGCTTTGTGGAATCCTTCGACAAAACACAGAGGAGAACCAAAGATTCACCTTCCAAAAGTTCGTTCCCCCACTCTTTTCTTTCTTTGTCTTCCTATAAACCCTAATTTCTAATATTTTCCAATAAAATTATTAAGTTTTTTTCCTTCTTTTTTTTCTGCTTAAGTTTTTCTAATCAAGTTTTACACTCCCTCCATTCTTGTCTTTAATTTTCGTAATTATTTAGCTCAATAAATATTTTTTATTAATTGCACAAAAAAAGTGAAAAAATATTGTTGTGAAAAAACGTGAATAAATACTTGTAATATAATTGTAAAATATTGTTGGGTGGTAAACAAATGCATCATTTAAAAAAAGAATTGGACATGGCCCATTAACAACTCTTTTTTTAGGCCCGTTTCAATCTTTGGATGTTATTTAGGTTTTGAGAAAGAAGAGCTATATTACAGCCAACCTTTCTTGTTTTCTAGGTCTTGCAATAAAGGCTTCAAAATTTCAAAGATTTGCTTGTGTTTTTTCTGTCCTTTTGGTTCCACCTCTCACATCAACCCGGTGTACAGTTCTAAGCAAACCACACTATTATTTCAACACTACAATTAATTCCTTTTATGGAGATCATGGTCCACACAGAATTGCCATGGCCAACAAACCATTACGATACATAATGCATTGGCTTTAAGCAGCCAACTATCAGAATACAATAGGGGGGAGGAGAGCTAATTAAACTAGACCATTTTACAGTACCATATTTCCTACTAGAATGTCATATTTTGTTACACTAAATGTGAAGCATAAGTTGATATGAACAGAGGGCGAGGGCCCAATTTTGCGAACCATTCGGTGCTTTCGCCTTGATCATAACAGCGGCCTCCAACATCATTTGAGTATTTGATCCATTCATGGTGATGATGCCTCTAATTACTTTTTTTGCACTTCTGCACGGCTCTTGGAGCTATAACAAACAGATAGGAAAACACAAGGATGTTAGTTAAGGATATCATTTAGCAAACAAAAGCCTATATTTAACACACAATATGATCATTGTCACACAGCAGAAGATACCTAGCCCTATGGCCTCTGAACTCTTCATGATCCTCATCCTCTTGCATGTGTCAGTGAACATTCTGCAAGAACAAACAGCCGCGAAACTTAGACGCAATACTCATTATCTGTTGGTTTTGATTTGGCAAAATGGATATCTAGAACTCCTGTATAGATTTTCACAGAACCTCTGACAAAGCTATTAATATGTGTCCCTAGGGGTGTTGGCAATGCCAGACTGTCTGTACTCCACATTCTGATCATTGCTGTTTACTAAACTAAAGTGCAACAATAACAATTCTCTTAGATGGAAAAACCTCCTTTGAAAATCTATTTTTAAGGAGTAGGATAACAAGGAATAGTTCGAGTATTGCTTAATCTATACAACCTAATGTCTCTCTTGAAAAATGACCACATATAATGCACATATTGTGTCGAGAAGTCACACTTACTCCCACGGAACATCACCAACTAGCATCCAATCTCCATCCTTATCTTCGTAGGTGAGGACATATTCAGCACCATTTAGGAGATCCATTAACCGGCTCTCGCTCAGTCCATCCCTTGAAACTCCATGTGAGCCACATTGACCTGAACAAGTTTATATTAAAAAGGGAAACTAAGAATTTCTTCAAAACAAATGATGCTGCCAGCATTGTCAACAATCCTGAGTGCAGCAAAGCAGCAGAGAGGATGTAGATAAATCCACCAAAAGCCAATTGAGTTTGTCTCACAAGACATATAATATGAGTCTTGTGAGATAAACCAATTGAGTTTTTGTACGCATTGACTTTTTTTGGAATTGAAAGACGTACATCACCTTCCATGAATCCCTAATATACTCATACTAAGAGACATGCAAACATTCCTCAATTATTTTCATTCATTTCCAGTTCTGAGAATCCAATTAAACAACTTTTTTGTTCAGGCAAATTTTTTTTAATCTTTCTCGAACTCTGATATTTAGTTTTTTTACAATTATCCAATTGCAAAATACTACTGACAGAAGCGGAAAAAAAATAGAGGACAATCCTTGGCTGGTGTGGTGAACTAGAACAAATAATATGAATTAAAAAGAGAAATTACCAATTGTAAAGCAGCTAAACATCTTTTCCAGAGCCAAAGATAACTCCACATAGCTGCCATATGTTTTGAGATCGACTTTCCTCAGGTATGGTGCACCATCCATGCTGACTTTAACGTAAAGACACCCTGGTCCCATCTTGCCTTCTGCATCATCATCATTTTTTGGAGGAACGGAAGCCATTGAATTCTTCCTGAAAGAACGAATTGGTGGCCATCCTACAACCTGTGCCCTGTCACACACACATGACACAAAACAAATTAGATTTTACTATGAATTTCTTAACTAAGAGCCATTATAACTTCTTACCAATGGAATCTATGGCTGTATAACGTACATAATGTTACAATTTCGTGTGTAGGAAGTCCAGAAAGTAGTAATTTCAAAATAATGAAACCTAGCTAACACCTGGCTTGCACATCTGAAAAATTCTTAAACTGTTTTGTGACAAAATTGGAAATATACATGCAAGGAAAGGGTGGAGAGGAAGAGCTGAGACCTTGACACAAAATCTTTTGCCGTACTTGCAAACATGGAAATAATTGAAATAATTCTCACAAAGTGGACATTTGGAATTCGTCCAAAAAAAAAAAAAAGTGGACATTTGGAAAGAAATATATGAAATATGAGAGATGTAACAACCATTCTGCAAAATAAAGAGCATGAAAAAACATAGAATTGTTTAATTTAACGTAAAGGGACAAAGAAGACCTGCACAATTTTGTCTACTTAACCCACTGGACTGGAGGCTTCTTTAGTAACAAAAAGAAGACAAACTAAAAGACAATATGAACAAAAATTAAGAACCCAGCAAAAAATTAATGAATGGAACAAATAGAAGTAATACCACAATTCTGCAGCCAAAATAATCATCTTTCTACACACACAATTCTCTGAAGAAAAAAGGAAAAGGAAAAGGAAAGTGAAAGAAAGCTAATTACTTTGCTGCAGAAGCAGAAACCTGGGGCTTCTTCTCATGCAATGGCTTTGGAGACTGTTGTGCACCATCTTTCACGGCTGAGACAGCTAAACTTGTTGGTTGGTTGTTAGAGTCAGACCCAGCAAGAGCTTTCCCACCATTAACACCTCTGGGAGAGAGCAAGTTACCACCTTTACCCATATCAACCTCAGATCCACCACTCCCAGAGAAAATCCACTTCCCGGAAGCTCCATCAATGGCGTCAGAGAAGCCCCTCTTGGCCCCAGAGACCAAGCCTTTAACCACACATACTGAGTACCCAGTCTTATCCTCCACTAACCCACCACCACCATCCCTCTCTGGGGACTCAGAGCCTGGCAAGCCCAGCCTCAGCTCAGTGGCTTTGAGGTTCAGAGCAGTCCCTCTGTCCCTCTCAGCAGACTTGTCAGAGCTTTCCATTGAAGAAGCAGACTCTGATAAGCCTATGTAATCATGCTCCAGTGACATAGACATGAAAGTACTTCAAGAGTCCAAGACCCAGAAGAAAGCATTAAATGGATTTAAAAGAAGAAAAAGAGAAAGATCAAGAGCTTAAATTGTTTCAGATTATATGGGTTTAAATTTATTTAAAGGATATGGTGTTGTTGAAGAAGATGAAAGAGAAGCTTCTTTGGTCTTTTGCTGCTCTCTTTTGTTTCTATATAATACACATACACACTCCCTCTCTCTCTCTCTCCCCCCTTCTCTCCCTCTCAGTCTCAGTACGCTCAGTAGTCTGTACTGTAAACTCTGTAACTCAGAAAATGAATATAAAAAAGCAAGGAAAATGTGCGAATATTAAATTAAATTAAATTAAATAGACAGCTTGCAAATAAAAAAAGTGGAACCGTTTGGGTTTGGCGTTTGTCTTTTGGCTTTTGTAGCAAAAATAAAAATAAAATTATTATTATTATTATTATTTTCTATGAACCTTTTTGGGGGCAACCACTCCGACAGGTCACAGAAAGTTCACGGCAAACTTTCTATGTTTTATTGTTTTCCCATTTTAATTTTATATTATTCCAATAATAATTTTAAAACAGTTAATAATTAGAAAATTAGTATTTATCAGTGAGCGTGTGGCTTTTTATAGAGAAAGGGATGGGACGCAGAAATGTGTTCGGGTTTTCAAGGAGGATAGGGAAATCGCTGGGGGGAGATGTTTTTGGCCGGTCTGGTGTTTGGATGCTCGGAAAGAAAAGGAAAAGTCGGGGGAAAGAGAGGGAATTTTGAGAAAGCTGACATCGAGAGGCTCAAAACGGCAACGGAATCCGAAGACCCACAAAAGAAAAAGAAAAAAACGGCAGTTTGAGAAAACTGAAACGAGTGTGTGGGTTGATAGAGAACGGTCTCTGGGATCCTGTGTTTGTACGAGCCAGCTAGCTCGCTGTCGTTTGGCTGCTCAGAATTTTTGAATTTTCCTGGAAATTTTGAGGGTAGGAACAAAACAACGCCAACCAAAAGAAAGCACAATCATTAGCCAAAAAAAGCAACTGATTAATTTTTTCTTTCACAATATACGAAAGAATTCAAACTTAAAAAACAGGGTTAAATACTTTTTCTGTCATTGAATTTTATACGAAAACTCAATTTGGTCATCGAGAAATTTTTTTAGTCAAATGTATACAAATTATATAAAGAAAAATCTCAATCTACCAAAATAAGCGTTTTCAAGAATCCATCTAGAAAACAAGTGAGAATTGTTTATTTAAGTTATAAAATAATTGAAAGTTTATTCTAACTAAATGAGAAATTGGACTAATAAAACAATGTCACATTTTTTGAGATATATTTTTTTATCAATTTATATATATTTTTAAGTATAAACGATAATCTAAACTACAAGGGAGGAGTTTCTCACACACAAGCATACAACTAAGATGTCGTTGGGGTTCGAATTCGAGACCTTTTATATGCAAGACTGAGCTTGACCATATTTGTAGTAATTAATTATTAAAAAAATATAAAATTGTTAAGAAAAATTGAATACATTAATAGATTTTAGGTTGATTACAAATATTTTGAGAGCCAATGATACTCACATGTGTAGTTGACCTCAAATTTCGTCAAATATTCAATTAAAAGACTTCAATCCAAGCAAAAAAGGGAAATTATGACACCTAAAGTATAATTAAACTTAGTGTCGTTTGTTTGGCTGCTGTGTATGGTTTGTCCTTTCCCTTTCAATGAAAGTGTGTTTCGACCAAAAAAAAAAAAGTATAATTAAACTTTTCTTTTTCTTTCTCTTTGTTTAAAAATTTTGAGATAAAATTGGAATGTGTAAAAGTAATGTTTGATTTTACATTTGGAATATTTCAGTTTGGATATTTTTAATTTAATTTCCAAATATGGGCTATCCCGTCAATCAAATTCATTAGCGGCCAAATGGGTGGACCGCACTAAAGTTTGCACGGTTGCAAAGGAGGATGGGTTGTTGGGGGACAAACGGCGTTACGTTGCGTGGTGGATGCCACTACATAAAGCACCCGGTAACCCATTGCGATGAGCAGCCGGCTCACCAACATTATTGATCTTGGGAGCTCCTCGTCTTCTTTTGTGACAGTTTGGGAAATAAATTTTTATATTGTGGGGTCGCAAAAACAATGGAGTAAAAATTGAAACTTATTTGTGTCCAAATCCAAGCTTATCCAAATCTTGAAGCAGATTTAAAAAGGAATTCTTAAAGAGGATACCTAATCGTTGCTCTAGGAGAAAACTCTAAAAAAATATCTCTAGAGGCCGACCCCCCACCCTTCCAATTCTATATCATTTCTTCTCATTTCATCCCCTTTTCTCTCGTTCCCTTTCTTTTCCCTCTGATTCTTTGTTTTTTGTTTTTTTTGGTGATATAAAAGTAGTTGTCATGAAACGTTGTCGTATGATGTAGTTATCGTCTTTTGGCCCATGCATGCAAGAATTTTGGCTCTAGTTTTTAACTTTGGATATAAATTTGGAGCTACAAAGCGGGGATGATGTCTGGTTGCTTTGGGTTTGGGTTTAGCCGATGCGGCAGACACTATGGGTTTAGCCGATATGACGTTGTGGGTCTCTTCGGACTGCCCAAGAGAATGTGGAGCGGTGGTCTTGTTTTTTAATTTGTTTTAGTCTAATAATTCTCAAAAACTCTTTAGGAGTTTTTTAGTTGTTTTAGTCTAACAATTCCTAAGATGATGGTTGCTGACTCAGGAATTTTAATCATTTTTTGGGTTGTGCGTATTCTCTCAAGATCAATTCAACTTGTTGTTGTGTTTGGTCACTAGATAAGTTATATCCATATTTAGCACCTTAGTTGCTTTGTAATTATTTTTGTTTATCTTATAAATACAATGCTATACTCTTTTATCCCCAAAAAAAAAAATAATAATAAAAAATTGAAGCATATTTTGTTGAACTTCTTCACCCCAAATGTGGAATTTTGTCAACAATTCTGATAATTCTATTTTTGATGCTCTACATGGTGTTGATGACGATGTGTCTTGTTAAGCACTTGTCAATGAAGAATTGAACACCATAATGCAACCCGAAAATTCTTTTTCACTATTCTTTGAGATAAAATCTATCAAAGACAATTTTGGCTTTATTCTAAACAATTATCCTCTACACTTTTATACCTACCCACATAAAAGAACAAATCCTAAACAAAAATTTATAAATAACCAATTTTTGCATTACTAAATGGGTCATTTCCTTAAATCACAATTTAACACATACAAAGTTATCTTATTATTATAAACAAATAAATAAATAAAATTATGTACACGTATCAACGATGATTTGTCTAGAATAAAGGAGCTAAGTATTTCGGTTCCTACATGTATACCGATGTAGCATTAAAAATAAAATTTAGAAGAAGCATGACTTAATATTGTAAGGAAAATACTTTCCTACTTATCAGGTAAGTATGAGCTCTTATATTATTGCCAATAACAATGTGATATGTGTGCATAAGTCTTTTTTCTTTTTTCTTTTTTCTTTTTTTAATATATTTTTTATGAATTATTTTTACATATGTGTCAAATTTTTAGGTGATAGGAAGGAGAAGTATCTCCTTATCGATAAAGAGGCAAATAGTATCCTTATTGTAATTTCACATTTTCTTTTCTTTTCTTTTCTTTTCAAAATGATGAACATGAAGAAAAAGAGAATCTCCAAAGAGGGCCCACAAAAGGTAGGTGGGCCTCAAGTACCAAACTGCTGCCTCTTGTTGGTGGGCCTCCAAAGGCAGCGGCATTAGTAGTAGTGTGGTGTTATGGATCAGTGTTTGGAGAAAAAAGAAAAAAAGAAAAAAAAGAAGAAAAAAAGAAGCAGGTTGTGGTGTCCAAGCAAGCACCCAAAGCAACCCACTTTCTTTCTTTTAAGTTTATTTATTTATTTATTTATATTTTATTTTATTTAAGTGAAAAAAAAAAAGGCTTTCAGTTGTTTAGGCCAAGCTCAAGTGGTAAACTATGTCAATCCCATATAATATAATATTTGGTGGTGGTTGACAGGTTGTGGGTCCTGTCTGCCCTGTACTTTTGCCACAGTGATCCCATGAGGTAAACAACATGATAAGCTATGCTAAGGCCCTCCCTCCCTGCGGACAATGTACATAAACTGTATGCCACACCGGGAAAGGAGGATTGAATGGAGGATCTCAAATGCATAGGTAACTGCCCTTAATGAATAACAGATTAATTACTGAAGCCAAACAAGGCCTTTAAAAAAAGAAGCAAAAATGCCTAACTCCAACATGCCAAATGGTTGTCATAATCAGAGCAAAGACTTTCTGGTAAGGGTTAGGAGACAGCATGAATCTTCAAAATAGCACCCAGCCTGACCTGACCCCATGCTGGATTTGATTCAACATCAAAAGGAATAAATAGCTTTTCTTCTAGTCCTAAATGGGCAAATCCATCATCATAGCTATCTATGAATTATAATACCACATCAAAACACATCAGACACACTTGATCAGAAGGGAAGGGCAGTGGAGCCCACCACCCCCATGGAGTTAATAATAATATAAAGATTATCATGATCTCAAAAAGCTATTTGTAATCTTGTATTATTATACCTTCAATTAAGTCTCAATGAGAATTATGATGTTTTATGTCTTTCAAGTCAATCACAAGTCACATTAGTTAGTTTTCCTTTTCCTCTTTTTTTTCTTCCCAAATTAGCTCTCTTCTTAGCTGATGAACATCACCAATTTTTTTATATTCAGATTTATGGAAGAACCCTAATTTGTGGAGGAAGAGTTACATGTAGAAGACAAACATATTTTTTAACTGTCAGAAATCATTTGGTGAGAGAAATCCCACTTACACCAGAATCTGCTAGCAATGTGATTGGCATGAACTCTAAAGCACACTGACATGGCACATGCCTACCTGCAGCAAAAAACCAAACCAAGCAAAAAGGAAATGAAAGTTCGTATAATCAGTATCAAAATTCTACGATGTTGATTCTCATATTTTGAGGTTGAAACAAAGATGATAATGGATCCATAAGTTTGGGTCCCCATACATACATGTCAAGAATTATTGGAGTCAGGGGGAGAGCCAGAAGCCCTGAATCTCACTTCATGTACCAGCAAAATAATTCAATTTATGTTGGTGGTTTGTCAATGTCACAATTGCCATCCTACATCAAAATCACTTGGCAAATCAACAGGGTAAACTGGAAAGTGGTGATATTTCCAGATTCAACATTTTTGTTTTTGCTTCAAAAGGCCGAAAGCCCTAAAGAGTGTGAAAAGAACTATGATAGGTTTCGGTGCAATTTAAGAAGATATCTTACACACTATTTGTAATGTGATCGCATCGAAACGTATAATTATAGAAATATGAATAGTATGTGACACATTCGTGTTGGGATTCACTATTGTCTTACTTTTCCTTGAAAATGGGAACTCTTTGAGCATTTGCCCAGCTGAATTTGACAATCTTTGTAGTGGAGGCTATAGTGTTGTGGACTTTCAGCAGAGCACGAGCATAATAGCGTGACATTGAAGGCCACAAGAAATTCCACAACTTAATCATCCCTCGCTAGGCTAGGATAGGATCCAGATCCACCGTAAGTGTATACTCTGAGACTTTTAAGAGCAGCTAGTCACTTGAAGATGGCAGCTTTTGAAAGTGCTTGGCATGGAAAGACATGGTGGACTTTGACTTTGAGCCTATATACCTAAAACCAATTGTCAACTAGTCTTAGGCTTATGCATCCTCATACACCAAAATGCTTTGTAACAAGTGAAACGAATTTAGTTTCTTTTTCTTTGCCTCATTGACATTCTGAACAAAAGCAAGAGATCAAACCTAAATCTTATTCTTGAACACAAATAGAATTGAGTGAGTTTTTTAACCGTCGTTGAAAACCAATGATTGGGTTTGCATGCAACATCTTCTTTTCTTTTTACTTTCATCACGTTTTAAAGATTTGTGAAAACCTTTGAATCTCATGTCGGTCGGTAAAAAAATGAACCATAAATTCATCCTTCCTGTTTTACCTTCATATGCATGTAAAAACATGGGAAGGCCTACACTTTAACGAACAAGGCAAATGTTACAGAAACTAGCAAAATGCTTTTCATTTATTTTTTATTATTTATAAATATTTGTGGGGAAAGGGGGCATCAAATGAGTCAACAAGAAATACTCATGTTCAGCCAAAAATGGCTTAATAACTGAAATTCATAAATAAATGATCTCAATATTCTTTATTTTCCTTCAATTGTAATGTATCCCTCTAGCTCCCAAAAAAAAAAGTATAAGAAAACAAAAAAACAAAAAGAAAAGAAAACAGAGAAACCCTGATATGGATATTTACTCTGTTGCTACTTTCTGAAGCTCCTCCCACGTGGCTAATTTTTCCCTGGGCTTGTTTCTTAAACTCCCAAGCCTCCTTTCTTCTGAATCTATCTTTTCCCATTCACCAAATGGTATAACTCTAACATTTCGACTATCAAGCAATTGGAGGAGACCCTCCCTGCCTGAGCTAGATGATGATGCCAATACTCCTTGCTTAAGGTCTTCAGATATACTTGCAACCTGCCATGTTGATTAGTGAAGTGAGCAAAGCCGGTAATCACCCTAATCAAATCCGATAATCGGTTTTAATTATGATAGTTATTGGTTCCAAGATGCTTCATGCGCCACTACTGATGGACATGAATACACCTTATTAACCAGTACCTTTCCATCTAAGTAATGTAAAAGACCGCTTACAGTTTCTTCTGCACAATAGAGGTTTGTAGCAATGATCCCAGTTGGTCCTCTCTTCAACCATCCACATACATACAAACCCTTCTCGAGCAGCATAGGATCTCCGGATGTATCCCTTAGAACTCGCCCTCTAATATTTGGAACCACACCTGCAAAGAAGATCATCATCATAATCCTTGCTTTGTCTCTTGTGGTCGATATAGAACCACTTCTGGCAAGAAGCTTATTTAGTAATATTCCAGAAATAGGAAACATTTTGTCACAAATCAAAACTTCTATGGAACCAGGTGAATGAGGCCTTCTAAAGATTGAACCAACTAAAGTCCCAAATCAGTATGAAGTTTGCATTAGCATATCTGAGTGAATGATCTTCCCCATATTTTGTACAATCTCATCAACTTTGATGCTTAAACATAGAGTTTTGAGGGAAGCTTAAGATCCAAATAGAATAATATGCCTCACTTCATATAACAGCATCTACATACCTTTCCGATGATCGAAGGGTAATCCATCAACTGGTATTGATTTGTAACCGATGCTCTTAAGCACAATCCTGTAGAAGAAAGAAAGCATATTGCCACTGTTGTCAGTACCATCTCTCTCTCTCTCACCCACCCTTACTTTTATCACAAGCAACTGCACACACATTGCATGTGTATGCCTCTAGTATGAAATTAGCAACAGCTGAATTTCAGAAGAAAGTACCCGCATCCAAGATCTTCAAACAGTCCAGTACCTGCAGCCATTCGTTCTCCTGGTCTATCACCTAGAAAGTGAAGTTGAAAGAAGCAATTTAGTCATTGTCACTTGGATGACCCAAAAAATAGAATCATTTACTCGTGTTATTGACAGCTTCCATAATTATTCGGAACTTGATGTTTGACCTCTTCCATTTTACCATCATTAGTTTTGTCATTTGATGATGACGTATGGTACAATCATTCAGTGATGTGTTTACATGTGATATGGCCTCACTTCATTGGAAAATACATAAAAACTTTTACTACAAATTATATGGAGTATAAATTACCTATGAGTTTTGTCTTCTCGAGTCTGACACCAGAAACATGGCCACTTCTCTCGTTAGATTCTAGAAACTTATCTGGTTTCCGAAAGAAAACAAAGTGCAATTCACGTGGATCTGAACTGGGGTGTGAAGCCCTTGTCGTGGCTGCCTTTGAGAGCAACTCATAAACCCTTTTTCGAATTCGATTGTTCTTCATCTCTTCCTTACCAAAAGACAGCAACAAGGTTCATGAAAATTACAAACAGTAAAGGGACTTTATAGACCACCAATAACAGCTTAGAATATTTCAAAACGTCAATTTCTATATTTAGCTATAACAGTAACCTTGAAAGAGACAGAGATAAGATCAACTTAGATACCTCATCTTCTGGGGTTGTGAGTAGATCAGCTTCCTTGATGTGAATCTGCAGATCTTTGATACCTGAAAACAAAGACAATAACTTTATATAATTCCACAAATAAAAAACCAACAAGATGACGAGTAATATTATAAGTGAGAATATGATGACAACATTACACCAATGACCTATGACAAAATATACAAACAAAATCTGATTGCAGATAATTAGAAACTACAATATTTTTTGGAAGCTACTTGTTACAGAATTAACATCTATTCACATAAAACAAGGAGGTCAATAATTAGAAATTCATAAGTAATTCATAAATATCATACCATAAGCTTTTCTATAATGTTTTAAATACATTATATAATACCAAGGACACCTTTGAAGTAAGATCAAGAAGGCCCATTGTCCCCTAGTCCTATCCTGCTGTAACATTGCAATCATATGGCAATGTCACCACCATACAATACAAAAATAAGTGTAATTTGAGCTTTAAAATCCCCAGAAGTTGCAGGCTCTTGTAAAAAAGGTTAAACGGCTTAAATGTACTCCTAAAGTAATTATTTCTCAGCATAGCATCCAAACAAAACATTTTAGAAAAGAAAAATATAAATCATATGCTTCACTTAGAATTAGAATGAATGTGATATTAAGAATCACCATTAATTTCACGCAGCTCTTTTGCAGTGCAAGCTGCTTGGGCTGGTCCCCGCCTCCCGACCAGATACACTTTCCTGAAATGACATTGACATCATTAAACATGAAACCCAGATAAAGTAGCAATTATAGTGTAACTGGTTATTCTCAAAATATGGTATAGCAAACCTTATAGAGCTGTCCTCAAGGGCTGCCAAAGCATGGCTCGCAATATCAGTTGAAGCCAACTCTGTTGTTGGTCGTAAAAGAATGCGTGCAACATCAAGAGCTACATTGCCCTGAAACCAAAAGGAGCTGTTTGGTAGGGATAAAGCTCCAATGTAATAACAGGTTTTTAATTTTATTTTTTGTGTTGTGACAAGGATTGTGAAGTACATTTACTAACCAACCTTAGGGCAGCAACTTAAGAGAAGGTTAATATTTATTAACTTGATGAGGTATGAAGATACCTGACCAAGAATTACAGCTGTATCAGAGCTCTTCAAGTCGGGGTTTAGGTATCTGCAATTTGGGTGCCCATTATACCACCAAACAAATTCTCTCGCTGCATATACGCCACTCAAATCCTAGAAAGAGGTATAAACCAATTATTTCAAAAACAAATTGTATAAAAAACATTAGTTGCAATTCTATCCAATTCAATTGATCAAAGAGCACCATAATATTAAAGAAACAAAACCAAAACAAGCAAAACATACTTCTCCAGGGATACCAAGAACTCTATCACTTTCGGCACCATAGGCAAGCACTACCTGCGTTTGCACATAATGTTGGTCAAACAAATAAGCATACCAAGAATGACATTGCCAATGCCGGCATTATTTACACATATTGAGTCAGAACCCCACCACGTCGTACAACTCACGAAGCTCAGGGAGAGTTACAGAGGAACCAAGAGTTACATTTCCAAAGAATGTGCAGCGTTCATGTTGTGCAACCCGCGTAAACTGGTTGACCACAATCTGTTGCAAGTTTTCTAATAAAATAAGCTCAAATAAGAAATTTATTCCTCGCCACACCAAGAGAATTCAACAAAATAAACTGATAAAATTCGCAGGATGCTCTTTATAAGAGGAAGTAAACTCGATTTTTGATAATGTGTGAGTTCACCAACTTCAATTTTCTTGAACTATTTTACGAAAAAAGAAAGAACTGAGACTAAGAATAATATGGTCACCTTGGTTTCAGGATGATCAGGTGCGACGCCGGAGCGGACTAACCCGAAAGGCGTTGGCAAACGATCAATGATATCCACCTGTGCTTCCTGATGCGCCTTCAGCATCTATTTCAGCTCAATTCATACCAATCATATCAAATTTCAATGCTTTATTAAAATTAATTTAACAACAAAAAACACACACAAATAGAAAGAGTTTACCTTCTCAGCAGTGTAGAAGCCAGCAGGTCCACTTCCGACAACACAGACGCGCAGAGGATGAGAAGCAACGGTCGAGAAGGTTCTAGAGAACCACGTCCTGGCTTGAAAAATCGCCATTTTCATTGAATTGAAAAAATGAATCTGATCAAGTCAGTGAGGTTGTAAGTGTGCCTGAAGAATTTGATCCTCAGGCTACGCCGTCGAGGAGGCGCCGACGGGGTAGCGGGCGTGTGGATGGGCAGAAGTGGTGCGGCGGGGATGTGGTCTGCAACTTGATTTTCGTCGCCGCTGCAAAAATGGCATGTGCATCTCACGTGAGTCAGATTGTTGAGAATTATGAACGAAATGAGGGGTGTGTTTGGTAAGGCGTCAATGGATTGGACTAGCTTAAATAGTACTTGAAACCCATATTTGTTAAGAGAGGGACTAACTTAAATGAGATCATATAGTCCAACAGTCAAAAATGCCCCTCACTCGCTCCTCTAATTTAGCGAGCTTGAAAAGCAGCTCGCAATATAACACCCACGCTATATTGAACTCGCGAGACCGACCCAAACCATCGCAGAACTAAACCTTCGCATTGTCATCGCCCAACCTCACTGTCACCACCACCAACCGTATCGACACCAACAACAATACCCAATTGAATACCCAATCAGTTGACCCAGAGAGCCCTTTCTATCTGCTCCGATTCCTCATGGGGTTACCTAATTTCTGCAACCAAACAAACCCAAATCACTAGCTTGTCAAGATCAAAGAGGATGTGCTACGTGCCTGGGAGAACACCTTTGCTGAAGCCTCCCGATTGATTTTTTTTTTTTTTTTTTTTTTTTTTTTAAAAAAAAGGGTAAAAAGGGGAGAAGGGGAATGGGGAAAAAAGGGGAGGGGGGGTGGGGAGGGGGGGGGGGGGGGGGGAAAGATCCTAATGGAAGGCAGAAAGGTGAAGAAGCAAGAATGAATCTATTAATCCCAGGGAGCAAGAGAAGATGGCTTCAATGGGGGAGGGGGATCGCAGCAGGTATCACTGCATTGATGATTTGATCCATAGGAGGCAAAACCTCTGTTTTTTCTCCCCGTCCTATTTCCAATGCAATGAACCTAATTATCTTAAACAAAAACAAAAAACAAAAAGATAAAAAGAATGGGGAGGTTGAGTTGGGTATGGATCTGATGGGTTTTTTTGTTTAAAAAAATTCAGAATTTTTGTTGTTTTTTTAATTATTGTTTTAAATTTAAATATTACAATAACTATTTTTTAGTTCGACCACAAAACACCAAACATAGGTTTTCATTATTTTTACAATTCAACTTTTTAGTCTGACGCAGAACCAAACGTAGGTTAGTACTTAATCCAGCTTAGGTCAATCCAAGCCAATCCAAGATAATCACAGGATTTAATCCAGTCCATAACAATCTGCAGTACCAAACGACCCCAAGTCAAGACAGGTAGGTGGATATCTGGGTCAGATTTAGAACCTGGCCCATATTGCATGTTAGAGGCCCATTGGACACGTTGAGATGTTGGGTTAAACTGACTCGATTGATAACCTTTTCTTTTGATTAGAGGCGAAGTTCACGTGTTTTTGATTTAGCTCGCGTCGTCTTCTCAATTTGTTCTTATTTTGGGCTGGTGTTAGTTAAGCCCATGATTTTAAATGGTCTAATATAAGCCCACTTACTGAGCTTCTAATCCAAATTAATCAAGTTGCTAAAATAAGCCCATGTTTGATTGAAGACATGATTAGTGCTAAATAGCTCAATCCTGTCCTAGTCAACATGCCCTTAATCTCTAAAATATTGAGAAATAGAATGAATAAAGAGTAGAAGAAAAGAAAAAGGGAAAAAATATATATTTTTTGTTGTTGGAACAAATAGATGCTTACGAATTAAGATGTTTGCTAAATATAACGCACCAAACACATTCATACACTAAAATATTTTTACGAAAATGCAAGGTATACCATATTTTTATACCACATTCTGTATCACTTTTCTAATAAAATGAGGCCCTATTATATCGGTGGGCACCACCTCTATTAGAAAGGTGATATACGATGTGATATGCCTAACATTACCCATATTTTTATGGACATGCTAGTGCTTAGCTTCTACCTACTTTTTAGGAGCATTAATGATTAACCACATAAATTACTATCCAAAATCCATAATTATGTGTTGACCACAGCACTTGTCCACAAGACAATTGTGTTTACCAGAGTCAACATATGTCAACCGAACCAAAATGTCTTCCGTATAAAATATAAAGAAAGAAAAAAAAAAAGAGGACATATATGATGTCATAGTTGACGTGTAGGCGACGTCATAAAAATGGTAAAATATGAAACCGAGTTTAGTTTTAAAAATAAAAAAGAGGGAGTCATAATTACGGTGTGGGCCCCAGGTTATCATTTCATTGGGCAGAAATTACCAAAAAAAAAAAAACATTAAAAACAAGGAAGAGAGAAGTTGTTAAAGGTCGGCATCCAGAGGCAGTTTTCGCTTTTTGTGCGAAGGGGGGCAAATGGCTGGTAGTGGGCCTTCGGTTGGGTCCACCTCACTAGGGACAATATGGTCCATTATCTTTAAGTCCCTTTCACACCTAGAAAGCCCAATGAGAAAGAATTCTGTTCGTATAGAACTCCTACGGACGGTCGCGCAAATTCGGGCCCACAACCGCCTCCTTAAAGTCTCTTTTATATATTTTTTTGTAATTTCTCAAAAACTACATCAATTTGATATTTTTTCCTTTTTTGTTGGCTTAACCTGATTTGAACTTGAATTTGACTTGTTTGTTTTTATATGGAGGATGCCTAAACTACCATTTCATTGAACATTTGAATTAGGGAATTTATTCACAATGATCGCTCAACTTATACTGAGTTTCGTTTCGGTTGTCAATCTCATTTTTTTAGTCATTTTAACTATTCAATCCAATCGCATGTATTATAATTTAGCCATTTTATAACATCTTTTCGTTTATTTTCAAAGAACAATTGTGTTTAAATTGACAATTTTACACTTTTGATGGACAGAATTTGATGAAAATACTAAATCGAATGACGTGCGAGAATTAAAGGACAAAATAAAACTTGGCACAGTTACAAATTGGGAGTTTCACTAAAACACTCAAAATTAGGGTTGAAATTATAAAAAAAACTCAAGCACTATTTAAACATATAAACACACCCAAAACCCATCATTACACACACTCAAAACTCATTTAAACACACCCAAAAAGTTGACTTTGGAGTTGATTTTGGGTGTATTTCTATGTTTAAATAGTGCTTAAGTTTTTTTTATAAATACATGTCTAGTATTGTGTTTATTTATAAATTTGTATTACAAATTTTCGCATACGTCGAATTCTCACACAAAATGTTCCCCCATTCTTACCTTTTCTGTTGATAAATTTTTACCTTACCCTCGATAAATCCAGTCCAGTCCAAACATAAAGTTGCTCCCATATTCCCAGTTGCCATTGGAACAAAAAGAAGTCCTAGAAGTTGCCATGTGATTGGGTGGTCGCACGTGAAAGAGCTCAAAATTATTTATTTTGGGGCAAAGAAAGAGCTCACGAATCATCATAAACTTTTTTATTTATTATGTTTTACTATTGTTTGTTTTTGAATACCCACGCTTTACACGTGTGGCAGCACGTGGCCGCTGACCCACCCTGTCAGGCACGTGATCTGGCATGTGAGAGGTTTTTCCATTTACCTAATTTGTTTTCTAGATGTATAAATAATTTATTTTTAATTTTAATTTTAATTTTAATTTTGTTCTATGATTGTTAGTACATTATTTCGAAATAAATTATGTGCTAAACGACTGGTTGAAAATGATGGTCCAACTCTAACTTGTCTCTTCCTTTTTTTTCTCGAAAAAAAATTATTATTTCTGATTATAATCTCACTCATTCTTGTCATTTCTTAGGGCAAATTAATCATTTTAAAGTCTCTCTCGTTTGACTTTTCTTCTCTTTAATCACATTGGCTTTGACATTATGCAACGAAAAAAGCAAAAGTTGCTTGAAATAATTCCCTCTAAAGGAATTAATAAATGGTGTGGGTATATAATTATTATACAAAAAGCAGAAGTGGGGCTAAAAAGATTTATATAATATTTGGATATACAAGGAGACAAATTTGTGTATGATAATAAACTATAAAAAGCATGATGTGGAGATTATTGGGATCAGTATTGTAGCTGTAATTTAGAGAGAGAAATGTGATTGTTTATTCGCTACCGAGAATGATTGAAGGATTTGTTTATATCTACTGAGATATGGTCCTTTGTTTGTCTGCCAAGATTATTCCTTTATAATATTTTACATGGATTCATTTGTTACTTTACTTAAATAATACACTTTAGTTAGTAATGAAGTAGCATAAATACTAGAAGAAAAGAATGACACAAGAGACCATGCTCATGCATATATGGTGAATTTTCAAGTCTAACAAGTGAACAACATATATTGGGTGACGTGGAGCATGTGTGGCAATTGGACTTCCACACGTGGACAAACTCGCTCTAATACCATGAAAAAAGTTGAGGTTCCACCCCAAAATCAATTAGAAATTAGAGAAATAGCGCAACACCTTATAAGCATTTTCAAGCTTTGTTAGTTTTCACATGTGAGACATTTTTCACTTCACATTCTCAGAACATCCGTGACACAAATTGAGGTGATTATTAATAATGTTGTTTTCTTGTAATGAAGCTACAAAATAATAATTTGGGTGTTTTAATTTGGAGACATTGTAAAGATTGATATGTCATGAGTAATGGTATAGTATTAATAATTGGTAACATGACGATCACACCAAAGAATTACTCACTTGTTTGTGTATCAAAATCAACTATATATTTTGGAAATAGGAGGCATAACAAAGTCACATAGTTTTAGTAATTATTTGTTAAATATAGAAAGCATAAAGAGTGTTTTGCACACAACAAACCACTTACATATATGACCGTCATACACACACACACATATATATATATTTATTTATTTATTTTCTTACTTGGATATTCATATGTTATTATCATGTAGATGTCATTGTAAATAAAAAGGAGTTAAAAAAATAATAGAAAATACATAATATCTGCACATCCGCACAAGGAGAAGATTCAAATGTAAAAAATCTATGGAACTAAGCAGATTCGAATGGAATTAGATCCTGAGAGAATGGTAATTAAACTTTGGAAATGATTGATCCTCTCAATAAACAAAACCCATATATTTTAGGATAAGGATAGTCTGGATATGTGCATCGAAATGCGTGCACGCAATTGAGCCAAAAACATCAGTTTCTTCGAGCAACGTCCTTATGTACTAGATGTTCTTAATGAAAAAAAATAAAAAAAATTACATGGAAACAGTTTAATTAAGAAAAAAAGAAGACCTGAACAGTTTCTTAATTAGAATTATAAAAGCATTCGGTGCAGTGCAGTAGTGCTGCAAGTAGCGTAAGTTTAAGGAAATTTGGATTGCTTTGTCAGTTTGATGTTGAAACTTGAAATTGACTACATGCTCAAATTTGATGAGTTTCTTTCATTGCGTTTTGAAATTGACTACACGAAAACTTATATATTACAAAATTTAAAATTATTTTTTCTTTTTTTCCTTTTTAACATGATTATATAAGGATGACAAGTGGCTAAACATAAACTTGATTAATTCTGATGGACTTAATTCTGACAAGTGGCATCCTCTTCTCTTCTTTTTTTTTTCTTCTTTTTTTTTTCAACTTCTTAATTATTTACATATATAAATATATCTATATACTTTTGAGAGACTAACTTTACACCTAAGTAAAAGCATCCGTAACAATAAACTCACTAAATCACTTTTTTGG